GTTGCTTATTCTGCCCCACGGAAAGAGACGAGGTAAAGGATGGGAGTGGGGGTGTGCGAATGATAAAGGGGCTAACAGAGCCACGGAGTCAGACTGGAGGTCGGGTGTGGACAAGAAAAAGACTGCCAGTAGATTGAGTGGAATGTCCACTCCCCTGTGCGTCTTCTTCTGATCTCAAACGGTGTCTTTCCCGTCTGACCGTTAATCAGAGCAGATAAGCCAGGTCATTATACACAGAGCAGATTTACACCGCTCTGCTGGCTGACCGGACCACATTCCCACAGAGTCACTGGGATAACCTACTCACATCTTCTAGGCAGGGATAAGCTTGCCTAAGGGGGCCTCGACACACACACACACACACAGACACAGTGCACTGCTGCACAGGTAAAGCAGGTGGTGCGTTCAATGCAGGTGCTTATTCTCTCTTCTCTTGCGCCCTCAAGGAAATGCACACATAACACACACACACATATGCGCCAGCCACGCATGGCCATTATCTAAATGATAGATGAAGTGTGTCACGGTGTATGCACAGGCTGCGGTGGAATAAATAAAACAAGCTTTTCCTGTTGCAAAGGACAACAACATTACCATAATACCAAGACAAATACTACATCCGATTACTGCTGACACGAAAACGTTACAGTATATGAGCCTAATAATGATCCACCATCAGGCTGGATTCTGCACGACCAGACTCCCCCGTGAAGGATTTACAACTGCTTCTGTGAGAAAACACTATGGAGAGAGTGTTAAGTGCTCCTAATGCTTACATAAAAAAACACGCATCAGCAGGAATGCTGTTACGGAGCAGAGACACAAGAGAACGTTGCAGAAAAGCTCATTCGAGCTAAAGTAAAGCTGATGTTCGCTCAAACCGCAGTCGAGATGCACGGAGATGCATGTGCCATTAATAAAGTTTGCTCAAATATTTATGAAGTAATCGGGAGACAATATGCGGAGAAGCTCTGCGAACAGCTGGTTAGCAAAACTTTGAGGAAGACGCCCAAAAATAAAAAATAAAAAATGCCCAAGGTGTTATCTGCAAGACATGTGGGCGTAATAAAGCTCAAAGAAATATTTCTAAAAGACCACGAGATGCGTTGCAACAGCAGCCCACCCCTCTCTAAAAACGTCCCTTGATAACATCACAAGCTTCATGCTTCTCTGCATCCCCGTTTGTGAGGGGGAGTTCGCAAGTATCGATTGAACCGCTACACATGAAAAGAGAAACATATGTGCGATTTAATTTGTGTGTGTGGAGAGTGTGAAAAAAAACAGAAGCCACTTGTGAGACTAAAATCTACACATCTGAACTTTGGAGATGTTTTATACCCAAAGTTTCATTTTATACAGTTAAACCATGCAAGGAAGACTTATGTTCTTATTTGGGAAAAATGTAACATAAGGAGATTAATCGTGTTTTGTGAATATTTGGAAATATTAAAAAAGTTAATTATGTGTTGGATAAAACACTGTTATGTATCACGCGTCATTAGAGGAGACTGGTACTGGGTCCATGTTTTCCTGCAGTAATTTCTCATTGTGCCAGTCATCCTCTGACATACGGCAGCTTGTTGCATGAGTTTAGAGAGTGTGTTTCTAAAGTCAGAGTCATCTCTAATAGTTTCAGAATAAATCACAGATACAATGAAGACTTTGACTGACTGTTTTCTGAGACAAGATCAAGCAAAACTCGACGTCTAATTTTAGAAATGTTTTAAAGTCAGACAACTTTAAAAAAAAATACAAACAGAAGATAAAATTAGAGCCTAAGTAAGCAAAACAAGGCCTTATTTTCCTTTATTAGCTCAGTATGTTATCATGTGCAGAATCCCATTAAAAAGACAAAAACAGCAAATGTTTCATCTTTTTGCAGATTGAAATCATTAGCTCCTTCCCCGAAAAAGACGACATTTGATGACGTTCTGAAACCTCAGTGTATATCAGTAAAGACGTGGTGGTGGTGCAACTTCTGATGCACATCTGTGCTGATTCCTGCTTAAATAAATCAATAAAACAAGTTAACGTTGTTTTTTTGATATGCTCATGCACGATCTGCCTCTGCAGCTCGGCTGGCTTATCAACAGTTAAAAGATGTCAGGTGAGATTTACTGTTACCACCAAGCCAAAACTAACAATGAATGTCTGCTGCAGTCTTATCAGAGTGCATTTAAGTGTGAATCATATGCTTTATGTTTTTTTTAGATCGCACTAGTGATAGAACTCCTCCAACGTCAGACAGAAAATAAGGCTGTTGAAGACATGATAATCCTTGTGTTGAAGGACGGCAAAAGGACAGTGAGTTAATAAGACATATACAAACCAACCGCCCCTACATGTTAAACTGTTTGCAATGAAGTAAAGTACCTGAGATAAAACCCCTGTTTTTGTTTCTCTTTGAAGGCTTTGGGAGTTTAAACTGGAGGATTTTGATGAAAATGTTGCCAAGCCTCTTCTCATGCTGGCAAGGCTAGAAACCAAAAGAGGATCTATAATAGTTGCTTTAAATTCGTAATGATTTTATCTTCTAAATGTGTCAAAACTGCACTTTATATCTGGTTTTTCAGGTGTGAGTTTTTCAGGTAAATACAAATAATAAATGAGGTTTCAAGGCCAGATGCTCCACAGTCCAACCTCTGAATTTTTAGCAAGCTATATTTGATGCACAATTACTAACAGCTTCAATTCTGATGACTCGAACCTAGGGACATCCTAAAATCCCAAAACATGGCATACGATGTATTTAGAGAGAAGCAGGATGAGGCGGCCGACCGGTATTGGTATCTTCCAGGGTCTGGGCTCCGGTTATTGAGGATTATCAGGACAACTTCTCCTATTCCATCAGGTTTAAAATGGTCCTGTCCATTTTGAAATTGCACGTTTCAGCCCAAGATCCCAAAAGTCTGACTTGTTTCTAAATCACCCCTTGTCAAACATCAACCTTTTCCAAGGTTCGGAGTAACAGGATTGAGGTTTTCTACATTCTCCAGGAGAAAGACCTCAAACCCACCAAAGAACCAGACACTGCTGTGCTTCTGGATTTTCCGGCTCCTCTGACCCCACCTGCTAAACCACTGGTCATTACTTCAGCGCTAAATTACTCAACCAGACACTTGGGTGAAGCAGATTTACACAGCCAAGTTTAGAGATAGACGCGGTCCCATCAGTTTTTTTCCCCCTGCTGAGCCTCAATCCTTAAAGGAAAATATAGTACGTAAAGGAGCAGTCCAACCACGAGAACTCCTTCCAGCTCTTACACCCATTGCTAACTCTGAGGTAATTACTACGGCATCAAATTACACGAGCAGGAATCTGTGTGAAAGGCAGCAACCGCCACCCAGTACAGTGACTGACCCAGTTCCTTTGACACCCTCTACTAAAAGTCCTTTACTCATACACAGACAAGTGAGGTTACAAATTAAAAGATCTGTCCAGAGAGCAAGACTCTGCTATTGTTCCAGCGTCACTGCAAAAATAGTCACCTATAATAAGGAAGCAGTAATAATTTATTTTGACAGTGTCTAAAAAATATGTGTAGGGGAAAGTTTGCACAATCTACAATCTTTAATTTTTTAGTAAGTAAATTTAACACTACATAAGCATTATTATTAAAGAAAATATGGTAAAAGTACACATTAGATGGAAGGGCAAAAAACTCCAATTCTACAAGTTTGTAATTTCTTAATAATTTTCCAGAATATAGCTTTACAGTTTTACTTTACTTTTGGCAATAATTACAGAGAAAATACACATTTCCGTAAAAGAAAAGCTACATTTAAGCCCAAACTGTTCACTATTTATTTATCTTTGCAAACTGAAGTCTCCATATATGTTCAGCTGCCTCTCTGTGACAAATTTGGCATTATCGCACGCCCATCTGTCTGAAACGTTTCGCTCTGGTGATGAAAAGGTTCGCTCGAGTTAGTGGAAGCGATCAAATTAGAGTGCAACAAATGCACTGTATTTTTGCATTTCCATCACGTAGAAAAAAAGAAAAAAATAGTACTTTTTTATTTTTATTTTTTAGGAAATTTAATGAAATATTACCTCATATTATTATAATATAATTGCATTCTAATTATTTATGTTGTGTTAAATTAACCTTTGTTTAACTTCAATCAGCAGCGGTTAAATATAATAATATGCACACAAATGCACGTATGTAAAGTAAATATACACACATACATGTTATAAAAGACTGAGGTCCAACATAATAAACTTCAAAGCTAAACAAACTAAAAACAGTGTATTAAGTAACTGTCACAGTCATCTCAGACCAAACAAGGGCAGTAATGTTCAGGCTTAAAAAGATTTCCAAAAGATTTGAAGCCTTTTCTTCTGTATGAGCTCGAGGAAAAGCTAGAATAAATAAGTCAACTGCTTCCTGTGCTTTTTTAGACAGCTGGCGGTCAGTAAAACAGAAACAGACAAGTGTTTATTTTATTACTGACGTTTTAGCAAAAAAGCAATATTTAAACCTAAAACGCTGCATCTAGTGGGAACTGCAATATAGCTGTTTTTACCGTGGTGTTGTTCTCTGTAAAACAGCAGTTTGAAAGAATAAAGTAGAATCAGGCTGAAAACTTTAAGCGAAATATCGAAACAGTGCCCGAGCGCAGAACTAAATAGCAGCAGTAAATCTACTCTGTGACTTTAGACGACTGCAGAAAATTCTATTTTTCCCACCACAAAAATGTAAAAAATAAAAAACCCAACATTCAGCAGTCAGTCAAGGTTGCCACGTTAAGGTCCCATAATGATATGGAACATTTCCATCCTAAACACCTAATACCGCTCTGCTCTCTAGCTGCTGCTGTGGTGCTGCTGCAGCGGCCATTAAAATGCAGTTTTCCTAGGAAACTCCCAGGTGTGACTGTGTGTAACTGAGTGTGAAGCAGAGATTATTACTCAGATCGTTCAGTCGGGCCTCTGCGGTTAAATGAAGGTTAAAAAGCTAAATATCAACAATAAATCATCTTTCACGACAAACTTACAGGTGATGTAGTAGTTGACGTTCCTCTTGAACTCCAAGCCCATGTAGTTGGGGCTGAACTCCTGGAATTTGATGGTGAACTTGATGTCCTTCTCGGGTTTGTTACAGTTGACCAGGACGTTAGGATCGAGGACTGTACTGCAGCTCTCCGCCTGCTCCCTCTTCACCAGATACAACTTGTAGTATTCGTAGTCTCTCCCTTGGTCCGCTTTGGGACAGATGATATCCAGCTTGTCCCCGATGTCGGGGTAAATCACCAGGCCTTTTCCAGCCACAAACCTGAGAGTGGGGAGGGGGCGAGAAAAAGAAAAGAAATTGTTACAAACACATAAAAAACTAAGTCTGGAAAAGCAGCCGCATAATTCAGCAACAGTTTATACAGCCTTAATACTTTGAGCTGTCGGAGTTATGGGTTTAGATTTGTCTGGCATGGCCTTTTAGGCAGGGCGCAGTTAATTTAGCCCCGCAAAAACACTACATGTAGCAGCTTGACATTGTTCAGCATTAGTGTGTTTCACACAAATCCCCTTAAGTTCCTTCTCATACTTGGATATGAATCAAAGCATACCAAAAGTTTGCGAGAACGGGAAACAAGATGGCCTGACACAAAATGGCCGCCACAGAAACGGCCGTACGGGTGGGATTACATCACATTTTTGAAAAAAAAAAGCTTCTTCATAATTTCTGATTTTTTGAGTTTTGGATAATACCAGCCTGTCGGCGTGGTATTCACATGGCATCTACTTCAGTAGCCTGCATCTCTGGAGGAAAACATTGTACCAGGGGTCTGCTGGGAGCTTACAGCTTCCCGGTTCATCTTCCCCTCTGCCGTGATCATCTACTGAAGGATTAAGATAATCCATCTGGCCTTACTGTACCTCTCCACCTCGCTCTCTGCTGCCAACTCAATCAGATCAGCTCTTGTTCTCCTTTATTCACTAAAGGTGGGGAACAGGAGGAGACCCAGTGTGTGTTTGTCTGTAAGTGTGTGTGAAGAGAGGAGGCGGAGGGGACACGCCAAGTACTAAGCAGTATGTTTGGGCAGTGGTGTGTATGTTTATGCACGCCTGCCTGTGTGTGTGTGTATGTGCGGTCAGCAAAATGGGCTGAGGTTGCAGTCTGATGTGGGGTGGGGGCTGGACGGGCTGAATCATTGTTCTGGACTTGTTTGAGGCTTAAAATGTCAACATGGTTCAACTCTGCTGTCCCAGTTAGCCAAGCATTAACCCAGACAGCCGGACTGACCACGGGTGTGTTTATGTACGTGTACGTGTCTGTGTGCGTGCGTGCGTGTGTCATGGACGCAGACAGCGAGCACAGCAGCAGGGCTATCTGCTAGATCTGCCCATGCCAGCGGATTTAAGCAGGATTTAGCAACGCGCGATGCATTTGTTGTTTTTTCTGATCCCTTGTGTTTTAACAAGACATCAGGGGTTGGGCCCCTCTCTGTCCCCCCCTCTCTCTCACAGTCTCTTCCCTCTTTTTTTTTACCCTTCACAGTGTAATCTCACCTTATCTACAGCCCCTCATTTCATCGTCACACACATCATTTCACCAGTAAATAACTGACTCCTCAGACAGCCCCGGATGAAAGTAGAGAACTGATGCCTGATAGTGTAAGTGGGCGAGTGTGGTCGAGCTTATTGGGGGGAGGGGGAGGCGGCGGCAACGGCGGTGGTGGTGCGTGATCACCAATCTTCTTCCTCTGATGATGTTAAACGCTGGCAAACACCCACCCATTGTAAGAAATGATCTTTTAAAAAGTCTTCAATCTTCAGAAGAACCCCCCCCCCCCTGAAAATTAACATGATTGGATTAACATTCATGGCCATTCATCTCAGACAGGGTCATTACCAAACATATGAGTTCATTCACAAAAGAGATATGAGATATAAGATAAGAGACATGCAAAGTGGTCAAAATCCTCTCTGTCAGCTCGGCTCAATATGATGTCATGAAAGCATGTGTGGGATGGTGGGTATGGGGGGGGGGTGTCTTATACAACGCTTGGAAGCGGGTGAGACGTTATTTGGCCGCCATTGTCTGAGGCTCATGGGGGTGGAGGTTGAGGGGAGGGGTTGTGCAAATTCAAGGGCCGATAAGAGAGAGGGAACTCGGGGTATCCTTTTGTCCTACGTCTCCCGACAATCTGCCTATTTTCAGCAGCAACAATTTGCATGCGCTTGTGTGCTCGTGCACTTGTGTGTATGCATGCATCCATATGTTTTCATGCATGCGCGTGTGCGTGTGTGTGCGTGTGTGCGCTGTGCCCAGTTACACGTGCGTACGTCTATGAAGACACAGACACAATCAGTCTCTAATTGGATCTACAAGATGCATCAGTGAGGCATAAACAAGTTTCCATGGCAACATTAGGCTTTGTTACTGACCACCCCTCCCCTCCCCACCTTCTCGCTATTCCTCCATCTACTCCCCCCAGCCCCCTCTATTTCTACTCCACAATCTCATTCCCCATTGCTTTATCCTTTCACTCTCATTCACCTCCTCAACATTTCCCTCATTCCGATTTTCTCTCATCACCACCACCACCACCCCTTTCTCCATCCTCCCCCTCGCTTCTCTCTCTACACACACACACACACATCCACACACACGCACACACACACACACGCACACACGCACACGCACACACACACACGCACACACACACACAAAAACAAGCATGAAACCACAGAGCAGGGGGAAAAAGGAGAAAGAGGAGGCAAACATCATGATTACACTGCTGTTTGTTTCACTCAACAAGTAGCTTGCAGTTTCTGTTTTCTTTGTAGGTAAATTGTTGGCAATTTTTTGGGTTTTTTTGGTCAAATGTTCTGATTCAAACATTTAAAAGCCTGGCTAGCAACTAAAACGAGTAGCCTCACACTGGACTCCTCGCTTTTACAGGCCATTTATTCCGTTATCAAAGCGAGCCGCAACAATTTAGATGAATAATTAAGATTTCCAAAAAATCTTAATATCTTAATATCCCTGAAGGATTTCATCGCGAGCCGGCCCCTGTCATTGATTCAATTTTCCGAGCAGGCCTCCTAGTTGGCAGTTAGATAGCTATCCTAAGTGAATTCTCCGCTTCTGTTTCCCAGCCTTTGTTAACTGTCTGCTATAATGAGGCTCTGGCTGCTGTGGAGGTCTGGAAGCGCCATCGCAGATGGGAAAGAAGCAACATAAAAGAAATAGGGCAGCAATTAGTGTTTAGCCCAGTTTAAAAGCCCTCCACTTGGCAAGCTGCGGCCCAGCTCCAGTCCAGGATGTGAAACTAAACTGGTGGGCTGGGACTTTGTCTCCTGTTTGTCTCTCTGTTGGCTTAATCAGCGCCACTCCGGTGCTACACACAGCCACGCAATGAAGAGGAGGAGACGAGTGACTGAAGATTATTGTACTTTTGAGGAGGTCGAAAAGGGAAAAAAGGGGGTTGGCGGTGGGGTGGGGGTGAATTGCATCTTTCATTCATGTTGTCTGGAGACTTTTTAAGACCTGTTGATGAAAGAAGGTTGAGCGCACAGAGGAAGAGCTGTGCAGATACAAATAATGTTTCTGGGAAATGACCCTGAACGTGAGAGAGCCTTTATTCCCCTCATGTCAAACGAGGTGGATCTGCCTGAACCAAGCAAAATAAAGAGAATCATTTTCAAAACAACCAAATGAGGTTGGTTTTGTTTCATCTGGATGGCTCCACAGCATGCTGAATCCTGTAAAGAGCTTATGCAAACATACCTACGCTGTGGTGGAGAGGGAACAGAAAACAACGAAGCAAAAAGAGAGGAGAACCCCCCACTCTCCCACCCTTTTCTTTTTACATTCCACTGGTGAATATGAGCACATGATCTCAAATATGCTACACCCCCCACCCACCTTCCCATATGCGCACACACACACACACGGATGTGAGAGCACACAAAAGCACTGTGGGGTGCATCCTAGGCCTTCCCAGCCCAACTTCCCAGCCACCCCTATTCAAGCACCCTGCCCTCACCGACTTTCATATAAAACGCCGCCTACACTAAGGCCCACTCAAAACCCCTTACAGAGCCTCAATCTCCCCCCACCACCGCCATGTTCTCCACCCCCGTCCAGTCAGCCCGAGCCTCTGCCCCGAGCGTTGCGCTGGCAGGCAGCCTCGGCCGCTGAATGAATGGACCCGAGGCACAGGAACTGAGAGAGAAAGGGGCAGAGACGGCTCATATCAACAGAATGGTGTCAAATTGATTTGTTCCTCCTGAGCAGCAGCTTGAACATGCCATACATATCAATTAAAATCAATTACATTTCTGCGACGTATACACAGTTAATTCCTCCGTGCCGGGCCCCAGATGCAGGCACCGGCTCTTCTCTTAATGTCTCGATTTTGCAGCTGGGCGCATAATTACTCTCTCGTTCTCTTCAGCCTTTACAATACATAAAATCATGTAAAATAACAAACATATGCACACTCTCCACGCACAACAACAGGTATTCAATTCCCCCTGATATCAGCGTGGTAATTATCACACCAGGAAATCTGTTCCCTTACCAATTACTTCTTCTCTCTCTACATTATCCACACAATCAGCATGGCCGCCCCCACCCCCCACCTATTATTAGAGATTACACTTTCCAAACGGTGTGAGACATTTCCTAACATTTCAATCAATACTCCATAAGTTTGCCGCTCAAACAGATACTAGAGTCTCCCTGCAGTAAAGCAGGGAGACGCAGTTATAACTGTGTCATAACTGTGTGACACAGTTATGCTTAAGTCTGCAAAGAACACAAAGCCGTGTTATGCAAAGAGCATTGTGGTTGAGCGCTTGTGTAAGATAGTGTGCGGCGGCAGGGATTTACAACAGATTCATTCACTCGAGGCAGTCTATGTTTTGTGTAATCACAGGCTACAAATGCGTCCTGTTCTCATTTAAGTCAATCAATATTAAATAATTGCCTGCTACCAGGGACTGCTTTGGCCTTTCATTTCCCTCTAGGTGCAGCCAACTGCTTGCGCGGCCTCGCAATGAAAACATTCAAATAGCGGGTTCTGAAATGGCTTCGCTCTTAATGTGGAGAGAGAAGAGAGAAGACGCAGCATGGTCGTTTCAGGCCAAAGAGAGTTTTGCCACTAAGTCACGTGAACGACGACAGAACCAGACCCCAAACCCGTCCGAAGCTTCGAGAAGGTGAGCTGGTCGCAGGGTTGCGCTCGTAGTCCGCAGCCCGACCCCGATCGGTTGTATACATAGCTGGCTTCTGTCAGGCTGTCGCGGGGGCAGATGTTCTTAGGGAGG